AAAAAAAAAAAAAAAAAAAAAAAAAAAAAGAACAGCACAGCTCAACATGAGAGGGACCCCGAGGAGGGGCCTGCTCTGGAAGGTGCCACTCTCTTTTCATGAACCCCAGCGGGGCTGACCAAGTATGTGCTGTTTATCTGCCTTGACCCTTGAAGCCCGATCCAGCTCAAATATATGGCATACCCTCCCGTTCCTAGCGTGGGTGCTGAGGCTCAGAACCCTGAAACTCTTGCTGAACACAGGGGCAACTGAGGGGGGTGAAGAGTCAGACTAAGACCACTGACTGGAGTTGGATAGTCCTGGTTTTGAGTTGGACCCGGTCACTTGTACTCATTGACCTTGGGAAAGGAATTTCCAGAGTCTCAGTTTCTTTGCCTTGCAAAACAGGGTGGTCAGAATGCCTGACAAGTTGTTGTGAGGACTGAATAAAATGATCCACATACAATTTTTGGCGCTGTGCCTGACCTATCAATGTTGTAATTATTCTGGAGTCCAGAGGGGGAACCTATCTCCTCCATACTCTCTGGTGTCCTGGGCTTCCACACACTTGCTCTACATAGCAGCCTGGCACCCCAGCTTTGAAAAAGTCTGTTGAGTCTAATAATTTGTCAGTCAGTGCTAGTTGGGGCTTTCTGAAAGAGAATTAGGGAAGTGGTAACATTGGGCTTCCTTTTTTTTTTTTTTAATCTCTTTTTCCCCCAGGGCTGAGGACCGAACTCAGGGCCTTGTGCGAGCTAGGCAAGCGCTCTGCCACTAAGCTAAATCCCTACCCCCCCCCCCTTTTTAAGACAGGTTCTTCTTCTGTTGCCCAGGCTGGCCTCAAACTCCTGGGCTCAGGTGTTCCTCTTGCCTCAGTCTCCCAAATAGCTGGGAACAATAGGCCCTGTGCCTGACTTCTTCCTTCCATTTTTTTATATTCAGACCCATAAGATGCCAGTGACTGGTCAAAGCCCTCAGGACAACCTGGGAGTAAGGAATCACATCCTGAGGCCACGTGTGCTAGCAGGCAGACTCCTACTCATGGCACTGGGGAGGAAGATGGATACTTAATGCCAAGGTGTCCAGCATAGAAGACCTTGTGGCCTGGCCTGCCTGCTGGGGGAGGGCAAGTGAAGACAGCTGCTGCTCTGTGGAAGAGTGGTTAAGAGTTCCCCCTCTGGAGTCAGAGGGAACTTAGCTGTGGGCTGGATGGCCTTGAGTAGGAAGTCACTTGACCTCTCTAAGTCTTGATGTCATCTACCTTTCAACAAATGGGAACAATAATCCACACTTCAAGAAGGCTATGTGAGAATTAAGGTATAGCCTAGAAGCAGGCCACAGAGCGTGAAGCACACAGGACACGCTGAACAGACATGTGCCACAGGAGCACATGGCATGTCCATCCTAGCAGGCTCCTGGGAAAGCTTCCACCAAAATCCTTGCCCCAGTGACTTCTCCTTGTCTGGGGTATACATGCTGCCCAATATGGCAGGGCCACCAAGGGTGTCAACCCCAGGCTCTTGGGGCTGAAAAAGAACAACCTCAAGGTCCCATCTGACATTGAATCCTGCCTGCAACAGACTCTCATTCAGCCTCCTTGAACACCTCAGGGGCAGGAGGTCACTCCCAAGGAGTTGTGCTTCTCCAACAGAAGCAAGTTTTCCAGCCACTCCCATCCACTGGGCCTGTTGGTCCACAGGGCCCACGCCAACAATATGACCCTTGTCCCCATAACAGCCCTTCAGATTTAGGAGATCCTGGAATCCCCTAAATCTTCCCTTCTGTAGATTATACCTTCCTGTCCCCACCAAGGCTCCAAGACAGGGTTCTTCTGGGAGCCCACCCCAGGCCTAAATTGAAAGGGAGAAGAAAGAGCTGGCATAGGGGGAGTGAAAGAGAAGAGGGGTGGAGGGAACCTCTGAGGCTCCATTTACAAATGAATGGGGTAAGAATGGAGCAGTTTGTGGGCTAAACTGGCCTCAGAAGGAGGTTTACAGATGTGCGAGGGGACGCTCCTCATTGTTTAATTAAGCAGAAAGTGGATCTTTTCAAAAGCAATTTTGCACAGGGACTGGGAGGGGTGGGAGGAGAGGAGGGAGGCAGCGAGGGGATCAGCAAACAGGCCCCAAGAGCAGAGAAAGGAACAGCTGGCCCCAGAGAGGCTGTGAAATGAATGCTAAGCAGTTTAAAGCGCCCAGAAGCTCTGCTCAGCTCCTCCCCTCCTTCACCAGCCACCCTTTAATGTGAATCAGCAGGAAGAGGGGGCATGCGGGTGGGGCAAGAAAGGTGAGGCAGTCTCCTTCCTACAGGGGAAGGGGCTGGGAGCCTGGAGTTGAAGGGATCCTTGAGTCATAAAGGCCAGCAGCCAAAATGGCCAGACGGTGGTTGGTGCCTGCCCCCAAAATCCCCTCCAATTAAGGAGATGATGACAGTTAACACACACACACCACTCGCCTCTTGCAAACACATACTTGTAACTACTTGCTGGGTCTACACATCCTACTTCACAAAAGGACATATACTTACATCTGGAACCAACTTTTCCAAATTGGAGTTGTTCAACAGATATCAGGCTCAATAAAGAGTGGAGTTGGCCCATTTTCCATTCTACACATGGGGAGAGAGAGGTTGACCGAAGCCACTAATGTGCAATGCACACTGCCAGGGCTCCTCTCTTGGAGTTTCATCCCCTTTGGCCTCTCCTGTCCTCTTACCATGTGGGGTGGGTTGGAAGTTCTCCCCTGGCCCAGGACTCACAGGTCCCCTTTTTTTGTGAGACTTATCATAGTCTACAGTTTTTTTTTTTCTTTTTCTTTTAATACTGGGAATTGAGCCCAGGAGCATTCTACCTCTGAGCTACCTCCAAACCCTTTTCATTTTGACCAGGGTCTCATTAAGTTTCCAAGGCTAGCCTTGAACTTATGATCCTCCCGCCTCAGACTCCAGAGTTGCTGGGATTGCCACCATGCCTAGCAGTCACAATCTGTGATCCATGGCTCTTGCTATTTCAGCTGGAGTATCTAAGACCTGCTTGGCCAAGTGGCAGCCAGGGCTGGGAAGGTTGCCAGATGACAGATCTGGGCATGGGTTGGGGAGAGAATATAAGACTTCTCTAGCAGTATCAGGCCCCTTGGGTTCATGAGTGCCAGAGTAAGGCCTGGCAACTGCAAACTAACTCTGTGGCTGCAATGTGACCTGTGCCTCTGGACACCGCAGGTCACAAATGGGGACCAAGAGTGAGCAATAGGGGCATCTTGCCTTCCTTCCCTGGGTTGATGGGCCTCCATGTTTTGCTATCTGGCTGAGGAATGAAGGAACAGAAACCTGAGTCCTAGCTCCTAGCCCAGCTTCCCTACCTAGGTAATTGTGGACAGGTCTCAGGTCCCTCCTCCTTAGTCTGTTTTCCTTCCCTCTGAGGTCTGACTTCCTTGGTGATAGGATCTATCAGGGTCATAACAAAAGTTAAACTAAATAACCAATGAGGGTCATGAGTGAAAATAACAGTGTAAAAACTGGAAAACAGGTCTTGGGTGTGATAAGTCAGGGTGATTCAGGGAGCCTCTTGGAACAAATGATGGCTTAATGCCTGGACTGCAGAGACCCTGCGGTCTGGGTGTGCTTCACTTAAGTAATTATATGAAGAAGATCCCTTTTTCACTTTAACTTATTTATGTATTTTTTGGTAATGCTGAGATTCAAACTCAGGGTCTCCTGCATGCCAGGTAAGCTCTCTACCACTGAGCTACACCCCCAGCCCAGTTTCGGCCTTTAAAAATTGAAATAATAGGAGCTATCGCCTAAGAATGTGGGAAAATGATCTACAAAACCTACTGAGACTTTACCTGCCACTCCAAACTCAGCCTGTGCCCCCTTAATCCTGGCCTTCCTTCAGCACTCTACCCAGACCAAGGCTTTTTGCCCCTTGGAGTTTTCCCAAGTGCTGTCTCCCTGCCTGGAAAGGCCCAGGCCTCTTTGCTCTCTCCCTGCAGTTTATCAGGTTGGCTTCCTTCCATTCTTCAGTCCTTCACTCAACCTCACCTCCTTGAATTGAAGAGGCCTTCCCTGACCACTTGTTAGTCCCATTCCAAGCACCTATGTGCTCTTCTCATGCCAATCACTGGAGTCTATGATGGTACAGTTTTATGTTTGTTTCCTTATTTACTGCCGGCTCCATTTGAATGCCACAGTTAACTTCATGAAGACAAGAACCCACCCAGCAACCAGTGCACTGAAGGCACCAGTGCAAAAGGAGGCAATCAAAAAATATTGCCAACTACATGAAAGAATTAAGTACTTCCTACCATTCATTCCTGGCACTTGCTGAGTACTCTGTCGATGAATGAATGAGATGAAGCTAGAATGGTGAAAACTAGTGGGCTTTCATGCCAAGCAAACTTAAGAGGAAATAAATCATAATGTGCTATTTTAATAAACTTCCAGGAAAGATCTTTGAGAGGCTTTATCTGAGAACCCTTGCTTCCTCTCAAGGCTGCCAAGGTTGCGTGGCCATCTGCCACACTAAGAAACAAGGATCTATCATCTGAGGGTCCCCGCTACCCCCAGAAAGGACACAAAATCTTACTATCCTGCCGTTTTAACACCAACTACACACAGCCCCAGCTCAAGGTGAGCAGTACCCTGATTCTGGATAAATGTCCCCCAGCCTCTAAGAATGGCAGGGAGCCAGGGACCCAAAGGAGGGCCAGAGATGGCCATGGCAACCAGTGGATTTGGACAAGTGTAATTGTTTTGTTCCTGGCAGATGTGTCCACTTCAGAGGAATCTTATCAAACCTCACCTGATCATTTTTTTAGTGTCCACCTCCTGGAACCTCATTCCCCTGCTTCCGCATATGCTTGATGGCCTCGTCTCAGCCTTAGAAAGAGATTGGGCTCCTATCCCTGAGTATCTGCTCTCAGCAGGACTCACTGCTAGGGCTGTAAAAGACCTGACAGTCACCAGGTCCAGACCCTGCCCTAGGCTACACTAATGGTTACCCTGGCATACCTCTGGGTTAACTCTTTAAAACCTCCCCACTTGAAGGCAGGGGCTGACTCCTCTTGTTCATGTTTGTCACCTCAATGACCAGACACAGTGCACCTCACAGAAAGTGCTCAGTATATATTTGTTCAAGAAAGATTAACAAGTTTCTCCTTTAGTCAACCTCCCTCCTCCAATCTTTCTGGCTGGAGCCTTTTCATTAGTCTAAATCTCTGCACTGTCAGGAGAGTCCAATTGTTTGGTCCGTTCTCAGGGAAGGTTACCTCCTTGAAAAGACCTTCCCTGTGCTGCCACATTATAATAATAGAGGGCTGGGGATATAGCTCACTTGGTAGTTGCCTCACATGCACAAGGCCCTGGGTTCAATCCCTAGCACACATCCCCACCCCCCACACAATGGCATAATTTACTTCCTCCTCCTAACATCTCTAAGAGAGAAGGACTGCCATACCCCCTTCACAGCTGAGAATACTAGAGTTAAAGAAGACTAGGTCCCTGGCCTAAGGTTCTAAGGAGTATGAAACCTTCACAGAACTAAGTAACCCCACTTCCCTCCCACGAAGCTGGTTGATCCCAGAGAAGATGGGAGAAAAGTATTCTGGTGACTTTTTCTTCCTTCCCACCCCTGGCCAGGGAAATCCTACCCATTTTCACTGAACAGGGCTAAATGATCCCATAGACCCTCTCCTGCCCAATATCCACTCCCCCACCCCAGCTTAAAAAGCCAATACTCACAGGGCTCCTCCTGCCCAGGCAAGGTGACTTGATGTTTTTTTACACCATCAAATAGGAGCTCAGCACCACCTCTGCAAAGGAAGGCCAAAAAAGACAGCCAGGTGAGCTCCTGCAAACAGAACTAAGGATGAAAACTAAGATGAGAATGGAAGAAGAACTAAGGATGAGAATGGAAGTAGAAGCCCAAGAGATACAGAGACCAAAGTTCAGGAACAACAGGCACTGGTGACTAACTCTCAAATGCGACTTCCTGCTGTGGTAAGGTAGGTATAAGTAATTTTTACTAATAATCAAGCAGACTGTTTGCCCCAGAAGCAGCCGAGTACACAGTTACAGAACATTAGCTTTGGAGCTGCCAATTCCAACATGGAGACCAGGCTCCATCTCTGCCAACCAGGGCATGTGACTCCATCTTCTCATACCTTGATCTTTCCATCTGCAAAAATGCTGAAAAGCCTTGTAAGACCTTCTGCAGATCCTGTGCATCTCAAAGTTTCCTCTGGCCAGGTGAGGTCTAGAAATGACTCTGTCCCTGTCCCCTGCTGCTAGCCTGGTGGGCATACCATAGCACTGGAGGCTGAGAGTCCACTGAGCTCTCAGCCTCAGCTAGCATCCACCAAGAGTAATCCTGCCATTTATAAGATGCTCCTCACCTTATTTCATCCTCAAGGCATCACAGGGAAGAACTGGGAGGGAGGCAGATATCATTAACTCCATTTCATAGAGAAGCAGGCTGGTTCCTGGAAAGGTCAAGTGACTTGTGCAAGGTCAGACAGGAAGCAGCTGCACTAAAATATGAATCTAACTGGTTTCTGCTCAGCCCCAGCAGCCTTGCTGAAAAATAAATAAATAAGATTCCCCAAAGGTCAGAAAGCCCCCTGAGGGCAGTTTGGTTCATTTCTGCATCTCAACATTGTGCCCTGGGAAGGCAGGAACAGTAGAGATAATCAGAGTAAAGTACAGAAGCCAGGACTCCTGATGTGGGCAGCAGGATTCTTTCAGTGCCCCATACTCATCTCCCTTTGGGTCTCCTGATTCCCATCTCAGACCTAACATGGGTCTGACCTGAGAAGGCCCTAATAGACTTGATGGATGGGATACCTCCCAGCCTACCACCCTTTCCCAATTTCAGGGAACAGAGATGTCCTGAGACAGCCCACTGGGAGGCAAAGGCAAGGAAAGCATTGTCATGGGAGAAACATGGGGCGACTGTCATCCAAACAAGGTCACGCTTTGTTGATGCAGAAATGTGGAGGGGGAGCAGAGGCCCATCTGTGGCTGTGTGCAGGGACATTTCAGCTGCAAGCCCGCACAGAGCCTCCATTTATCTCTTTCCAAGAGCCTCATTTTCTCCTGGGTAGGGGTTGGCACATGTAGCAGCTGGGATGGGGGATGGTGACAGGCAAGGGGCTCAGGAATTGGGGGTCAGAGAAGATGGGTGGGAAGTGGAGGCACTGGGACCCAGGCAAACAACCAAGAGTGGCCAAAGCTGGTGGTGCCAGTCTCAGAGGCTGAGTCTGTTTTTTCCCTTTATAAATGGATGAAGGCAGAACCAGTCTGGCTCAGAGAGTAACCTGTCACTACTGGGCTCACTGGGCCCCAGGGGAGGGGTTGACACTTCTGTCAGCACATCTGGAGTGGGGGAAAGTGCACACCAAGCCTCTAGAGTGACCCTAGGAGGCAGACAAGGGGCCTGTTCTAGCCCCATGGACCCAACCAAATCTTCTTATGTCTTACAGGATTTGCTATGCAACTCAACTAAGACCTCCATCTTCTCTCCACGTGCCCAGACATTCCTGCTGGATGTCTGTTTATACCAGTGTCAGATACAGACATTCCCAAAACTGTCTTCCTTCTACTAGTTCATCTTCATCGTCTTTATCATCTATTCATCTATATTTGGTTCTTTTTAAAAAAAAATATTACTTCAGTTGTGGATGAATCTTTATTTTTATTTATTTATTTTTATGAGGTGCTGAATCCAGTGCCTCATACATATTAGGTAGACGCTCTATCACTGAGCCACAACCCCAGTCCTATATTTAATTCTTTATTTCCCTTCTACCTGCTAAAATACAAGCCTTGCCTAAAACAGGGCCTAGCACACAGTGGGCGCTCAACAAAAATTTGCCAAATAAATGAAAATGTCCATTTTTCTTATTTTTTCTCTGACCTCAACGGTACCCTCCTTTGTTAATACTTCCCCAACTCAGGGAGGAGGAAAAGGAATGTGGTAAAGAGAATCTTACATTTGAATTTTAACAGCCTGAAATGAAGGACTCAAAACACATCCATACTACGCACTTTTGAATTCTGAGAAAAAGCTCTGCTAGGAACAGTTCAAGAGGGAAGACAAAAGATGGCAAAACTAGTTACTGACAAGAGAGAATGGTGCAAGAGGCTTTTTAGAAGGCTCAAAAAAGAGCTGATGGGGGCTGGGGATATATAGCTCAGTTGGTAGAGTGCTTGCCTCACATGCACAAGACCCTGGGTTCAATCCCTAGCACCATCATACACACACACACACACACACACACACAAAAAAAAAAAAAAAAAAAAAAAAAGAGCTGATGGGGCCAAGAGGACTATATCTGCTCAGGGGTTAGAAACAAAGTCCTAACCCAAACTCTTCTAGGATCTATGATGGTAGGAAAACAGGGAAACAAGGGAGATAATGGTGGGCACGGCAGCTTCTTTACAAATCTGCCCAGGTTCAGGGTGAAACACATCTACTAAGAGATGTAGGAAGTAAAAGGTCAGAGATAAAAATATGCAAGGACAGAGAGCAGGGACTTGGGTTTGCAATGCATCTTGGGCATTCTCACTTCCCAAGAAGATACAATTCTCATGGGACAATGGTGTGGGTAGTGATGGAAGGAGGTAGATAGATGGGTAGAGGGATGTTGTCTTGTTTTGCTGGAACTCACTACTGCTCTTAGGGGTAAGGGAAGCTGAAGCTAGAAAAGAAGTAATTATGTTGGCCTGTGAATTCATGACTTCCTCATTGTTGCCCGCACAGTATCTGGAAGACAGAAGACATCTCTGGTGAACAAACACCATATCTGCTTAATGAGAATAAAAGGCAAGTTGACTATGGATAAATCCCAGCCTGGAGATCTGAAGCTTCTCCCTTTACAGCTCTACTGAGGCCTGTCAAGACAGAAGGGATTCTCCTAAAATGCCCAGGCTTTAGGGTACAGCTGGGCCAAGGGTGAGTGAAGCAAAATAGTCAGAAAGCCTGACCAACGTAGTTCTAATTGGATCCAAGCGGCTAGACAATAATCATCAATTAAAATGCACTTAACATTCATGAGGCTACCCACTTCTAAGGGACAGAAATGCTGAACACTGTAGGGCATGGACAGAGTGCTATTTATCTTTGTATCCTCTGTGTCTGGCTCACTGCCTGGCACATGGTAGGCACTCAATAAATGACTGGTGAATGAACCACCTAATGAAGGGAAAACATGAAAGAAACTGGGAGCATCCAAAGAGAGGAAAGGCATTTGGACAGAGGTTTTAGATTCCTATCCCTGACTTTTCCTCTCCCTTTCCCAGCGCGCATACACACACACACAGTCCCATCCTTTTCATGTGATTCTGGCAATGATATCACCACCCATCTTTTAGGGTCTCAGTTTCTTTGCTGTCTATAAGCTATGCAGTTTTTCTCAGAGTTTTTAATTTTTATTTTGAGACAGTTGCACAGGGCCTTGCTAAGTTGCTGAAGCTGGCCTTGAACTTGCAATTCTCCTGTCTCATACTCCTCCCTAAAGGCTACCAGGATTACAGGTGTGCACCACCATGCCTGGCTTTCTTTGTTTTGAAACCAGGACAAACCTGTTTGTTGGAGGGATAAGATAGTGGCTTAAGAAAATTTCCTCTCTACCGTTTTCTTCAGTTATTGATGTGTTCCAATCCCTACATTTTCATCTTGTGCAAAATATACTGCCAATATTAGTCTCTCCCAATATGGTTATCACATTTATCCCCATACCTCTACTGGACTCAAGATCTGCAGAGGCACTCAGCAAGTTTACTGACTATCCTGAAAAGAGCTTCAGGTTTTTTTAAAATCCCAAGTCTTGCGAAAAAGAAGAAGAAGAAAAAAAAAAGAGTTCCGTCTTGTCCACACATCCCACAAGAAACAAAGCCTCAAGAACCGTGTAAGCGGATATTGAAACTGCTGCCTGAAGAAAGAAATCATGGGTTGGAGAGCGATTCTTTCAAGGAACCAGATGCCAAACCGATGGACCTGGTAAAGTGCGTAGAGAGGCCACCCGCTAACCGTCATGTCTTTTGAGCCTTACAGGTACTGGGCACAGCGGAGTACTCAGAGCGCACCTCCCCGCCCGTGTGTGCGCATCTATTCCCGGACATACGGCGTTGCCGAGGGAGACCGAGCCTATCAGACTCGAGGCGGGTGGCACGGCTCACCGCAGGCGCCGGGAGCCTCAGCAACTCGGCCGTGTCAGGCCTCGAGACAGGAGAGGAGTTGCGGGCCCGAGGACTTCAATCCATACCCAGGGCGCCCCAGCTCTGTTACTCACCCGAACTCCACCTCCACTGACAAGGGCGCTGCCATGTTGAGGAAGCCGAGCTCGCAGGAAACTCCCCTGAACTTCCGGAGCTCCCGCCCACTTCCGGTCGCCGCCTGGAGCCACGTCCGGAAAAGGCGGTGCCCAAAGGTCATTCTCCTCAGCTATTGGAAGGCGCGGAGGGCGGAGGAGGGAAAGTCACGGGCGTTCCCGGCGATCAGGAGTCGATGTGCCTCCGCCTGTTGGCGGCCGGGTTCCGGGACCCGGACTGGGAATCAACTTGAGACCGCAGCTAGGCGGAAGACAGCCCCAGCACCTTTTCGACAGACTGTGAGCCACATTACTGTTTATCTTGCGTTAGTTACAAATCTGTCTTTAGCCTACATACCGCTTAGGCGAGCCCATTCACTCGTCTGACGTCATAGTGACCTCCTAAATATTTCTGACACAAAAGTCTCTCCCCTGATCTATCAACTCACTGTCCAACCGCCCCTTTGGATATTAAGCTGGCTGTCACTACTCAGAATTTATTCCATGTTCATGTGCCCAGCATCTTGTTTGGTGCTATGGATGCAGTAGCAAGGGGCAGGGAGTGTGTGTGTGTGTGTGTGTGTGTGTGTGTATGTGTGTGTATGTTTTAAAACCCTCTTTGTGTTGGGAATCGAACCCAAGGCCTGGTACATGCTAGGCAAGCACTTTATTACTGAGCTACATTCCTAACATGCAGTATCTTTAGGGCACTCACAGTCTAACTGGGAAAAAAAATCTGTAATAAAATAAACATGCTGGGCTGGGGTTGTGGCTCAGTGGTAGAGCACTCGCCTAGCATGTGCGAGGCCCTGGGTTCGATCCTCAGCACCACATAAAAATCAGTAAAATGAAGGTATCGTGTCCAACTACAACTAAAAAAGAAAATATTAAAAAAAAACAAGAAATAAGCATGCTAATCAATTATATATATATAACTATATATATATATTTTTAATACTGGGGATTGAACCCAGGGGCCCTTAACCACTGAGCCACATTCCCAACCCTTTAATAAAATAATTTTTTAATTGTAAATGGATTCTTTTTTTTTTTTTAGTTGTAGTTGGACACAATACCTTTATTTATTTTTATCTTAGGTTGGAACCTAGGGCTTCACACGTGCTAGGCTAGCGCTCTACAGCTGAGCCACAACCCCAGCCCCTGAATCTTTATTCTATTTATATAAGGTGCTGAGAATTGAACTCAGTGCCTCACAATGCTAAGGCAAAAGCTCTACCACTGAGCTACAACCCCAGTCCCCCAGCCCTTTTTTGTATTTAGAGCCAGGGTCTCACTGAGTTGCTTAGGACCTCACTAAGTTTCTGAGGCTGGCTTTGAACTTGCCGTCATCCTGCCTCAGCCTCCTGAGCTGCTGGGATTATAGGCATGTGCTACCATACCCAGCTAAGAAAGGCTTTTTTTTTTTTTTAAAGAGAATTTTTTAATATTTATTTTTTAGTTATCGGCGGACACAACATCTTTGTTTGTATGTGGTGCTGAGGATCGAACCCGGGCCGCATGCATGCCAGGCGAGCACGCTACCACTTGAGCCATATCCCCAGCCCAAAGAAAGGCTTTTAAGTGTTAAGACACTTCAATAAGAAAGGGGGAGCTGGAAATGTAGTTCAGAGGTAGAGCCTTAAGTTCAGTCCCCAGCACTGCAAATAAACCTGACTGGACTTGCTGGGCTCTAAAGCCTAAGTAGAGTGAATTGAGTGGATATGAGAGAAGCATTCCAGTGAGGAGAGCAAAAGGTGAAAATAAGCTGAAGCATCAAGGGAAGAAAGTGGAAGTTGGGAGCAGAGATGGAAATTGCTAAGAGATGAGGCTAAGCCAAGCCATGCCTTATAAGCAGGTAAGCATTTCAGTGTGTAGGAGCACTACTGTTTGACTTGAGGCTGTGGAAGGTTTGGGGAGGGATGGAATTGTGCTTTAAAATAACTCAGTGGTAGAGTGGTTGCCTAGCATGTGCAAAGCCCTGGTTCAATCCCCAGCACCACAGACAAATAAAAATTTAAAAACTTTTTTCTGGCTGCAGTGTCAAATGGTTTGGATGGAAACATGGAAGAGAATATGGAGACAACTGAAGTTTGTTACAAAAACCCAAGGCAGAAATGGAGTGGAGCAGAGTGGGTGTTCTATGGGTCTTCAAATATTAGTACTCCCAGAGTTGAGCACTGGTAGAGGATGGTGATGTAGCCTGATGGTTAAAGACGTAGTGATTATGTTAAGAGCTAGCAAAAAAAAAAAAAAAAAGAGCTAGCAGTTCGGCTGGATGCAATGGCACATGCCTGTGATCCCAGCAACTCAGGAGGCTGAGGCAGGGGGATCATAAATTTGAGACCAGCCTCAGCAACTTAGTGAGACCCTGTCTCAAAATAAAAAAATAAAAAGGGCTGAGGACTTAGCTCAGTGGTAAAGCCACACTGGGTTCAGTCCCCAGCACCAAAAACAAACAAAAAAACCCTAGCAGTTCAACTGCCAGTTTTTATCCAGGTCTGCCCTAGCTATTTCTTTGGGCAGGTCCCTTAATAATTTGTGTCCCAGCTTCCTCATTTGTAAAATAGGAAGAATAGTTTCTTACAAGGGCGTGGAAAGGACTGAATGAGTTCTTGGCACAGTGCCTCTTTCCCTAAAATAGGCTCTGTGTTGCCCATCTTTGGGGTGTAGGTGCCACTGCCCCTCACACAAATACCAAGATACTCAAATACTTGAATATTGATTTAAATATTTTGCTCCATTCAACCACCAAATTTGGACCAGTCTTACTTTTGACATGATTTTGCAATCTCCCAGATTTTCCCTGACACCCAGCTCTCACCCACATCTGCTTCCTCTGGCCTATCTGCCTATGGCCTTAGCTTCATGTGCAGTTAAACTCCATGGACAACTCTGGGCCCCTTCAGTGTGCCAGGCAGTGTTCTAGGGCCCTGACAAAACAAGGGCAAATGAGATACAGCTCTGGTTCTCATAAAATGCAAGTGAGTCTACATGTCCTACATGGAAAGGTCCCCCCCTACACACACACATACCATGCTACGTGGGCCACTTCCCCTCTGGAACTCAAGTTTCCTCAATCTGTAAAGAGAGTCTGAGACCAAATGATCTCTTAAGAGTCTTTCAGCAAAAAATATTCTTAGATTCTTCCACTGAATTCTTAGCTTCTCCAGAGCAAAAACCTTTTCTGATTCATCTTGGATCGTTATCCTGTAAGGAGGAACTTTGTACATCATAGGGATTTGGTAAGTGCTTGCTGAATGAGCAAAAAAAAATTAACAAGTGATATTTGCCAGCAAGGGCCCATCTAGAAAGCATTCAGGTCCTTTTACAGCCTCTGATCCCAACCAGCCTCTGCTGGGTATCTTAAGATCCTAGGAAGTGCCACTTCCCAGAGCTGGAAGGAGAGATTGCTTGGGAGCATTTGAAGAGCATCCTCCATTAGAAAAACATTCATTGAGCACCTGTTAAGTGCCAGGCCCAGTGCTGGTGCTGGGAACACAATGGTGCACAAAAACAGCTAGTTCCTGCCCTCTTGGGGCTGATGTTCAAAAGAATGGAAGGCAAAACAGGATGCATGGTGAGATCAGTGTTATGGAGGGGAGCAGGGCAGCTGTTGGAGGCCCCAACCCAGCTTCATGATCTCACAGAGGCTTCCTGGGAGTCAATTAAACCAGATCCACTGGAATTTAGAAGGAAGAGGTGGAGTTGGGGAAGGAGAGGGCACAGGCAGACCAGAGTTGTCCCTCCTTCCTCTAGATTCTAGGTAGTCCTCAGACTTGTCCTGGTTACTGGGAGCTCACCTCTTGAGTAAGCTGGCCCGGTTCTGTGGCTTCCCACCTCTCACTCAAAAGTGCTTCCTTTACCTGACCCCAATCCCATTCCCTTGAACCCCTCAGTGACAATACTGTTTTACCAGTGTATGCCTTCAAAGAATATTTATTGAACTTGAACATTGTCTTTGCATCTGCCAGGTGATTTACATGCATTACCTAATTTATTCCTCCCAGGGACTCCCATCTTTCCTATGAGTAAACTCAGAACATGAGGCTTGCCCGAGGACCCCTAAGTATGAGGCCTCAAACCAGATTTTTAGAGCCTTCAGGATCCCTTCCGCTGTCCCTATCATTGAGCCTCAATGCCTTCCCTTCAACTAGTCTCAACCAAATGTCTTTCGCTGGGACCCAGAACAGGGGTTTGGGCCCCAAACCCTATCCCTTCCAGCAGGCTGTCCAGCCAGGGCATAGGCCTCCATCCTCTCTGAAGCTTCTGGGGAGACAATGGCAGGGTTGGTGGGGGAATTGAGGGCTCGGGTGCCCCCCTGCCCACACCCTTTGTCTTCCCGCCTGCTCCTCTCACGCGCCCCGGGAGGCTGGGAGTCGCCTCTCGCAGGCTTCCTCCTCCCATTCTTGTGCTAATTGGGTGTCAAGCTGAGATCAGTGAGAAAGAAATCCGCCCTGGCTCGGGTTAAACTGCCGCCAAAGATGAGGGCTGAGCCCAGAATATCATTAGACCAGGAGGAAACCGGGCCTCTTTTGGGGGAGGGACTGGCAGCGCATTCAGGCCCCTTTGAAAGTCACTCAGTCGCCCCCTCCCTTGCTGTTGCCATTTCAATGGGCCCCTCAGAGGTATTTAACCTTCCCAGGAATTGAAAGTGATAGCCACGCACTGGCCTGGGCAGCCACTTGCCTGTCCCGAGGGCAAATGGGACCTCCAGGGACGCTGCAGCCCAGCCCTTTCCAGCCTTCTCCTGTGGAACAGGCAGGTTGCAGATGGGAACACTGCTCCGAAGGGGATTTTTCTCCCAGCTCTGCCATTCTCAGGCTCTGTGGTCTTTCTCATAAGGCTCAGATTCCTCATCTGCAGAATGGGGATGAAAACTGTACCTACTTTGCATTAAGAAAATTTAATGAAACCATGCACAGAAAGCCCTTTGCACAGGGCTGGTGCACAGGGTCTGGTACTCAGGCAGCGCCCCAGACTTGACAGCAAGTCTAACGAAGTTGGTTTGACCAGCTACTAGGACCTCCAGATGTCTGGCCTTGATTCTAATCCCCTTTACAAACCTGCAGCCTACTACCCCTCTTTTTACATTAATTTTTTTTTTAATGTGTGTGGTGCTGATGATTGAACCCAGGGCCTTGTGCATGTGAGGCAAGCACTCTACCAACTGAGCTATATCCCCAGCCCCTACATTTACTTTTTTTTTTTTGTAGATGGATGGACACAATATCTTTTTATTTTATTTTTATGTGGTGCTGAGGATCGAACCCAGTGCTTTCACCTGTGGGAAACAAACGCACTACCGCTGAGCCACAACCCCAGCCCTACTTTACTTATCTTTGATCCACTCTGATGGCATTGTGCCTCTCACTCTCCTGAAGGAAAAGAATGACTATCAATGACAAATAGCTGCTTTGCACCCAGAGAGAAAGCTGCACCTCTGCCTCATGGTGTCCAGTGCTCTCTTCATTCAGAGAAACTTCTAGTAATGAACTATAGAAATGACCTGGCATGTGTGAGGCCCTGGGTTTGATCCTCAGCACCACATATAAATAAGTAAATAAATAAAAATAATAAAAAAGACCCATTGACAACTAAAAAATATTTTTTAAAAGTGACCTGTTAGTATTGTCCTTCCTTAACCTGCCCTTCACTTCCAGGCGTTGGCATCTGCCTGGAAGCTTCTGGAAAGTCTTCCCTGTTCCAGTGTGCTTGGTTAGGTGCAGCTGAGCACATGACTTTGGCTTCTCTATTTGCCAGCTTCTTCCCCCACCATGCGGACTGGGGGCTCTCTGAGGCAGACTTAGAGCTCGGGGATCTGTCAGGCTATCAAGGGCAGCCTTTAGAAGCTGCTCAATACATGATATGGGGGCTGGGGATGTGGCTCAGGTGGTAGCGCGCTCGCCTAGCATGCGTGCGGCCCAGGTTCGATCTTCAGCACCACATACAAGCAAAGATACTGTGTCCGCCGAAAACTAAAAAATAAATATTAAAAAAGGAAAAAAAAAATACATGATATGGTGGTGCACACCTTAATCCCAGCAACTTGGGAAGATGGGGCAGGAGGATTGCAAGTTGAAGACTAGCCTGGACAACTTAGTGAGATCCTGTCTCAAAATAAAAAGGGCTGGGGATGCAGCTCAGTGATAGAGCACTACCAGTTTGGTACTGGGGATTGAGCCCAGAGGTGCTCTAACAAAACAAAATAAAAATTAAAAAATATAGAAATCTTCTTAGAAGATGAACTGCATTGTGGTCTGTGAACTGTACCACTAGGTAAATGTCACCAACTGCCTGGTAAACAGTAGCTATTATGTGGTTAATTAACTTCACAACCATGTATTGAGCAACTGCAGCATGCATGGAGATGATGGAGAGCTGTAAGGCCTCCATTGTGGATGGTGTGGTGGTAGTGGTAGGGCTGGTGTGGAATTGGGAAACTTTCTCTGGGATCTTAACATCTGAACACACTTTTTCTCCTTTTAAATGATGTACATTGTGCTGAGATTTTCATGCATGATCTTGTACTTTTCACAATTCAAGGTGGGGACTCCTTGGCCTATGTATACAGAAAAAGGAATTGAGTGCAAATGGTAGAGCCGGGATTTGAATATAGGCCCATCTGACTCCAAGTCCACAGCTCTGAACACCACACTGCCTCTTGGTGACTGCTCAACATGGAGGAAGGAACGGGCTTCCTCTAGAGGTTCCTTCCCATTGTAGAGAACTCACTACTGAGGATTAAAGATATAAAGATGCTCCACTAACCAAGCTAAGCCTCTTGCAGGCATAATCAAAGGTCCTCAAAGGCCACCATAGGGTCTTCTGGGTGGGGTACCTGCTTCGGGAGGAGGCAGGAGGCACAGCCTCCTTGCTTCCCTTGGCTTGAATGTTAAGGTTTGGGACTGAATTCTTCAAACTCTGTGCACCCTCTGCTGGCCACATTTGGCAATGCAGACATACCTGCCACCCCAAATCCCTCAGTATGGGTAAGAGGCCCCTCTTCAGGTCAGCTCCCTACTTTCTCCCTACTTTTCTACCTGTCAGGAGAAAAGACTCCTCTTTCAAGGCCGCTCCCCCAAGAGGCACCTCAGTTTTCTTCACCAGGCTCCTGACTGCCTGAACTGTCAGATCATGGCCCAGGGTGTGGTGCAGAGCTGGCTCTGGAGGCATGTGTGGAATGAAACTTCCAGCTTCCTGTTGCCTTTTGCATCCAGAGGAAGAATAGTATTGGTGGGGGGGGGGGACTGGGGCTTGGGTTTGCATTCCAACCCCCTACTTCAGTGACTTTGGCCAAGTGACTTAAAATCTCTAAGTCCTAGGTCTTTCTTCAAATAACCCATTTGTGTAAAACCAATTTCATACACTGGACAAAGGTTCAACAGTGGAGATGAAGCCCCCCAGGGGTGTGTACCCCCCACCACCCTGGGTGGTGCTGGGACCCTTCCCTACTGCACTGATTCCTGGGTGTGACTCTAGCAATGGGGCCCAGGATAGCTGGCTCCCTATCTCACTGCTGCCTGCTGCTCTGCAGGCTAGGCCACCTCACTCTGGTTCTCTAATCAACCTGGGCAGAACTTTCCCATCTCTGAACAACTGGGGCACCAGACAGGGAGGAGCAGAGCACAGGCCTGGAGATGACCCTGCCTTCAGGGAGACTTCCCCTCAAAGCCCAGGCACCCTCTTCCTTATAATGGCCTTTTTTGCCTTCTGAATGCTTTTTGTTTGTGTATTTGTGGTACTGGGGACTGAATCCAGGGGTACTCTGAAACTGAATTACATCCCCAGCCCTTTTTTAGACAGGGTCTCACTAAGGTGCCCAGGCTGGCCTCCAACTTGGGAACCTCTTGCCTCAGCTTCCTGATTTGCTGGGATTACAGATATATGCCACCATACCTGGTCCAAGGCCACAAGCTTCTGCTTTTTTTTTTTTTGGTACCTGGGTTTGAACTCAGGGGCACTTGACCACTGAGCCACATTCCCAGCCCTATTTTGTATTTTTATTTAGAGATAAGGTATCACTGAGTTTCTTAGCACCTCGCTATTGCTGAGGCTGGCTTTGAACTTGTGATCCTCCTGCCTCAGTCTCATGAGCCACTAGGATTACAGGCATGCGCCACCATGCCCAGCTAAGCTTCCGTTTTTGAGTGACAGCTGGTCGGGACTTTGAAGCTCAAGCTGTTAAAACAAATACCTTGCCAGACTTGGTGGGAACTGCCCCTATCTAAGCCAGCACATAAGCAAGGGCTGTGGCATTTCACTTTACCTGCTCTACCTTTAAGTCCAATTGAGTCAGTGGACAAGTTAGTTAATGGGCCAGATAAGCAGAAAGTAGGGCCTGAGCAGACTGGGGGCTCCAGGGGAGGATGGGCTCAGGTGGAATGCACACAGGATAGGAGGCATCAAGGCAGAGTTTATTGGCCTGAGGGCCACCCTCCCATTCCTCCTCCTCTCATAGCCAGGCCAGGAAGGAGATGGAGACAGTGACGCTGACCCATACAGACAGGGCCTGTAAGACAGCCAGGTACCTCCCAAGCAGATGAAGATGTAGGAGTTTGGAGAGATAAGGGTTGGTGTCCTGACCTCCTGCTGCAGGTGAGGCATGGTGGGGCCACGTCGGGTCTTCCTCCTCTCCACCTAGAGGGGTGGGCAGCTCTGGGGCAGATTCTTTCTGGTCATCAGATTGATGGCCATTACTGTTCCTGCCCAATCGCTTGGCTTCCTGAGTCTGGAGGCTTCTGCCTTGGTCCCGTTTATGAAAAGCCCCTGTTCTTTGGAGGGAGCTTTGTGACCCCTATGCCTCTCCCTGTCCTGCCTGACCCAAGACATCATCCTGAGGCGGCCCCCCCCCGTTAGTCTCAGCCTGGGGCCCAGAAGATCACTTGGACATGCAGCTTTCACAGAAAGCTTATGCAAGGGTGTGGAGGCGGCAGTGAGTCACTTGGCAGTTGTGGAGGGAGGGGTCAGCACCTCAGGGAGGAGGTGTGGCCCTGCTTGCTTTGGTCTGGCATCACCCAGAACCCCTCTGAGTGGAAGCTGAGGCTTTGGATCCAGCATCACTGGCCTCAGAGGGATGTGGGGGGCAAATCACAGCTTCTCCTCGCCTGCCTGGATGCGGGCATAGGCCTCTTGGTCCAGCGGGACATAGCAGCCTTTCCGGGAATCCAGGTAGAAAAGCGGGTCTTTCACAACAGCTGGATCAAAGCCCTCCTTCCGTAGGTCTGTCTTCTGGAACTTGTAGGTCCCTGGGAAATGAAGAGGACAACTCAGCACAGGAGCTGGAGTCTTTCTCAACCCCCTTGAATCTGGACTGGCCTCATGACTTGCTCTGACCAACAGAATGCGGCCAAAGCAATGTCTTAGGTCAGTCTAGGTCTCAAAGGGCAATGCTGCTTTTTCCCCACCTCCCGGGGGTGCCCTGAGGCCAGTCCAGCCTTCAGAAGGATGAGAAGCTGCATGGAGCAGAGATGAGGCCTCTAGACTGGCACTGTCCTGTGGGGGTAGTCAATGCCCTATGTGGCTATTTAAAGTTAATTAACATTAAACACAATTTGAAAAAAAAATTTTTGGATTTTAGTTCCCTAGTCACAACAGCTACATCTCAAATGATGAACAGCTTTGCAGGGCTAATATATACTGTCCTGCTGAGAGAGCAAACATTTCTAGCACCTCAGTTCTGCTGGTCAGTGCTGCACAAGTGACCAGCCCAGAGCCAGATGTGAGTGAGACTAAGTTAGACTCTCCTGGCCTGACTGAGTCCCTAAGTGATGGCAGCTCTTGGAATGACCCCTAGGCAATGCCAACAGAATTACTCAGTTGAATTTGGCTCCCAAACTTCTGACCCACAGAATTGTTAGTAAATAAAGTAGTTGAAGTGCTTTGGAAGCCAGCTGTTCTGCAGCAAAGCCATGTGGAAGCTGAGGCCCAAGCCTGCCTCTCCTGGACAGAAGTCACAGGTATCCGTCCTCAGGGGATGAGCAGTCTATGGCTTGAGCCTGGCACCACTGCTGTCTTTCTGTGCCACACTGAAGCCCTAGGTCCTTCCCACTGCTACAGGTGCTCTCCCAGGTCCAGGTGACCACATCAGTGGGGGAAGGCTTGCCATCTAAGAGGGGCTCACATGATGACCACCATTGGGGGCATCCAGGCAGATGTGGCCCAAGGGTGTGTAGCCAGAGAGAGGCTTGACAAAGGGAAGATTCTACAAGGGACAGCAAAGACCAGCAAGGAAAACATGGACAGGTCTGGACAGGAACCTCTGTACATCCTTCCCACTAGGAACTCCTGAGAGCCATCAGAGGACCAACAGAAGGATGGCACTGCCCTGCATGTGACCACAGCTCACCAGGAGGCTATTACAGCCTTTCCTTCATCTCCTATTCCCCCTGCAGTCCTATCCCACTCTCCATCCAGCAGCCAGGATCTTTGAGCAGAGTAGTAACCTTTTGTCAGATTTGTATCCTACACTTCTGTGGTTCCTGCTGTTCTGAGATAGTCACATTCCCCCCTGGCCTAGGCCTTGGGCTTCTAGCTCCTGTGCCCCCTCTCTCACCCACCTTACCCCTCTTGCCTGCCCCTCTTGTAGCCTCCTCCTTCATTCCTTCAGCACTGCCATTCCTTCCTGTCTTGGGGACTTCACACTTGTTCCCACAGCCTGGAATGTTGTCCACCCCTATAAGGTCCTCTTTTTCATTTGGGTCTTAGCTGAGATGTCACCTCCTCAAGGGAGCTCTCCAGTCATCCCAAATGCCCCTTCATTCACTTTTCTGTGAACCTAATCTGCAGTTCACTCCTTATTTTTGGAATTCCTTGTCCTGGAGCTGCTTCCTTTCCAGTTCTAAAAGCTCTAAGGCGGCAGAGGTCCAGTCAAAATTTACCTGTTTCCCCAAGCTCAGCCCAGAGCCAGATACTCTGTCAGTGACTTGTCCCACTAATGATTGGTGAACCTCCTCTTCCGAGGGACAAGTTTGTTCACTTCCACAAGGGAGGGCAGTTTACCAACTACCTGGCAAGGCTGTGGGCGAAGGTCAAATGCCAGCCATTGGTTTCTCTAGAAAGGAGTGGAAAGGCCCAGGCCTAGTACCCAGGAGCTGGAGCAAGGAAGGGACATACCTGTTTTGTGCAGCTCAGGCAGGAAGCGCAGGAAGATGGGTCGGGCATACAGGGGCAGCTCCTTCTCTAAGGCCTCTGCAAAGTGCTCCAGGTCACAGCTACCTGTGGAGCTGGCCACGGCAGCCATTCCGGCCCGACCTTCAGTTCCTGCAGACAGGAAGATGAACCATGAGCCCCAGCAGTGCCCACTTGTGGCACTTCCAGCATGCCACCCCTCCCCCAACATACCTGGTACCTCAACACCATATACAGCTACATCAGCCATGTCCAGTAGGCGGCTGAGTGTACCCTCCACCTCGGTGGTGGACACGTTTTCCCCTTTCCAGCGGAATGTGTCGCCCGTGCGATCTCGGAAATACAGGTAGCCCAGCTCATCCATCACCAGCACGTCACCTAGGGAGGGCTTTGGTGAGCAGGACCTGGGCTGCCCAGCTCTGGCCCAGGGGCTTGAGCCAGGCAGTCTTTGCTGAAGCCTAAGGATGTGATTGACCACAGGGGCTGAGACAGGGGAGTCCTGGGCAGGTGTTCTCCAAAGATAGCAGAAGGTCCCTCACCACCCCCTGCCCCTCTGGAAGTGGTAGCAAAGGGTCAGGAACCCACCAGTGAGATAAGCTTGATCCCCCTTCTTAAAGACATCCTTAGCAATCTTTTTGTTGTTAGCACCCGGGTTGAGGTAGCCATCAAAGCGGCGCAGAGGGTCTTGCTGGATGATGCGGCCTACCAGTTGGCCCGGCTGGCCTGGGGCAGGAAAGGCAGGGTCAAATTTGTCCTAGGAAGCCTCATCCACCTGTTTTCCCCAGACACATCTTACATTCTTTTTGGTTTTCCTTTTTTTACCCCCAGTTGGCACAAGGGGTTGAACCCAGACTATTTTATTTTGAGACAGAGTCTCATTAAGTTGCCCAGGCTGGCATCAAACTTGCAGTTCTGCTGCCTCAGCCTCTCGAGTGGCTGGGATTACAGGCATGGGCTACTGTGCTTGGCTCCCTGCATCTTGAACTAATCTGATTCATACTGCTTGCCATAGAAATGCCCTATTTCTGGGGGCTGGAGGTGTAGCTCAGTGGTAGTATGTGTGCTTAGCATGTATGTAGCCCTGGATTCAATCCCTTATGCAGGTGCGCACACACACACAGAAAAAAAGAAATGCCCCATTTCTCCTCCAGCCTGGAGCTTGCTGAGGGCAAGGTGTTCATTTGGCTGGTCTGACACAACTGGATCCTCAGTGATGTCTGTCTATTGAACTGGATGGGAAGATAAATAAATAAATAGTGAGTGGGGCTCAGGCTCTACTGGACATCCGAACAGGCTGGCACCACTGAGCTCCTGCTTCAGGCGTGACTCCACTCAAAAAGCGATATGTTCTTTATCATGCATAATCCTCAGGTTACCCTGATGGGGCCAGTGCTACCATCAGTCCCATCTGCAGAAGAGAGGACTCAGAGAAGCTAATTCTCCCATGGCACAGGGCTAAGGGGCCAAACAAGACTAATTCTAGTTGGCCAGACTCAGGGTTCTTCGGGGTCAATATGAAAATGAACAAATGAGCTGGGTGCAATGGCGAATGCCTATAATCCCAGCAGCTCGGGAGGCTGAGGCAGAAGTTCACAAGTTCGCAGCCAGCCTCAGCAACAATGAGGTGCTAAAAAACACAGTGAGACCTTGTCTCTAAATAAAATACAAAATAGGGCTGAGGATGTGGCTCAGGGGTCAAGTGTCCCTGAGTTCAATCCCCAGTACTACCCTGCAAAAAGAAAATGAACAAATGGACCGATGGGTGGATGACATTGTGAAAGGATGGACAAAGAAGTGAACAGTTTATAGCCCTCAGAGCAGGACTGACTGATGGTTACTAGTCACAACCCGCTCCCCACCTAATCACAATGGCCGACCTCCCTCCCAGAACAAAAACTCCTCCTCTGATCCTCAATTCCCACCCAAGGCAGACCTGGCCGGCAGGGAATGCACACGCCATCAGGTCCCCGGATCAGCTCCATGGTATCCTCGTTGACACGTACCAGCCGGATGGGGTATACAAAGGACAGGATACGGCTGTTAAAGCCACAGGCTCCTACCTGCAAAGGCCAAGACTTGGGCTGGGGCTCTGCCACCATGGGTCCCAAGGTGGACAATGGGGGCAAGGAGCAACTCTGGCACCCAAACTCCCACAGTGGAACTCTGCCCTCCCCTCTGCCATGGTCCATCCCCATAGCAGCCTTACCCATCCCCAACCTGGGCCACACCTGGCTGTCAAAGTTGCCTAGGCTACAGTTGCACTCAGTGGCTCCATAGAACTCGGCCACCTGGGGGATGTGGAAGCGGCTGGAGAAGTTGGTCCAGATGGACTGCCGGAGGCCGTTACCCAGAGCCATGCGCACCTGGTGCTGGGTCTCCGCTTCCCGGGGTGGCTGGTTCAGGAGATAGCGGCACAGCTCACCGATGTACTGCACAATCTGGGGTGGGCTTGGTATGAGTCTGGGCTCCCAGAGTTGTCCCACTCCCCCACCCCCATATCTCAAGACCCTCTCTTCCACAGGGGCTGGCATGTGATCCCATCCCTCTCTGGGCCTCAGTCTTCCTATCTGAACAATAGGAATGTTGCCCAGTGAACCCTTCTAAACCACCTCAATTGTGTGAAAGATATTCCAAAGTGTGGGTAGTGGGAGGGAGACAAGGGGACAAGGGACTACTCATTCCCTTCCCTTCTCACTTACTGTGCAATTGTATTTAACACAATCATCCCAGAACCGGGAGGCTGAGAACTTCTTTCGGATCACTACTGTCATGCCATGGATCAAGCACTGACCAACACCCACGATGTTTCCTGAAGGCAAAGAGGGCCTAGGGTTCAGGAGATAGAGACCCATTCCCCAGAGCCTCTTTTTTTCTTGCCATGAAGGGGATTGAACCTAAGGCTTCACACACGCCAGGCAAGTGCTCCACCACTGAGCGACATCGCAGCCCCCAGGGCCGCCTCTTGCCCAGGCCTGCCTCTTCACAGGCACCATCCCGTGGTCTCTTTTCCCTATCCTGTCCTAACTGATCATATCTATCTCCATTCAGGCACCTTCCATGGCTTCCCAATGTCTCTGGGATCAAGTGCACACTCCTTAGCCTGCCCCCTGGGGACTCTGGAGCCAGCCCCAATCCCATTTTCAGCCAGGTGGGGCCTAGCTACTCTGCCTGACCTCTGTACCTCACACCTGCCTTCTCCCAGGAGTCCTCCCAGGCTCCCACTGCTGCTCTTGCCACCACTTCTAGAGCGCTCCCTGCTTTTTCTCCACTCGCCAGGCCATGCCCCTTTTTAGAGTCAGATAGGTTCCCATCACCCATTCTGCCATAAGGACACCACCATTAAACACCTTGAGGCAGGGACTCTGCTATCTCAAGCTGCCTTCCCTCAAATCCCTTCAACCAAGCAGCAATGCAATTGCACATCTGTGGAAACCAACTGGAAAACAGGTCAGCCCCGATGCCCCCAGAACATGGTCCCACACTCTGAGCCTGGTGTGGTCACCCTCAACGGACAAGACTGAGGTAGACCCTTTAGCCATGCCTGGATTTGAACTCAGATTTGAATTCAAGTGTTTCTACTGCCTCTTCCAGGAAGGCCTCCCCATGGCCTGATACTGCCCTGCTCTAATGCCTGCTTCCATGCCTTCCACAAACAATTTCTGGGCCTTGCCCTGTGCTAGGCCCTCTCACAGGTCCCAGGTGAGCAGGGCAGTTATATGAGGTGGCCTTCCTAAAGATCTGGGGGTGCTGGAGGCTGTGGGGTGGGTCCAGGCTTACCTGCAGAATGGTAAAGGGGGAGACAGTCATAGACAATGTCGTCAGGCTTCATGCGGAACCCGTAGTACACCAGGGCAGCCATGCGGTAATACCTGGGAAGGCAAAGGGCCAGGGGCTTGGTGGGAGGAGGTCCTGCAGCCCCACCATGCCCACCCCACCCTGGGGTATGAGACACCCACCCCTTACCTGCTGTGCACCACGATGGCAGCTTTGGGTAGCCCTGTGGTGCCCGATGTGTAGATGTAGAAGAGTTTATCTGAAGAAAACACACAAGGGCAACTGAGAGGGCACCCCACAAGGCAGGGCAGAGTGGGATGGATAGTATCCATGTTCTTGTCCTTCAATAGCAGTTCCCACCATGCTTCTTCCAGGAAGCCATCTCCATTGGCCTGATGCTGCCCTGTTCTAATGCCTGTTTCCATGCCTTCCACAAACAATTTCTGGGCCTTGCTCTGTGCTAGGCCCTCTCACATGTCCCAGCTGAGCAGGACAGTTATATGAGGACACAGGCAGTTCCAGTACTGAGACAAGTGTGGGGGAGGGGAAAACACAGGACCTGAGGAAGACCAGTAGCACCAACTGGCCTGGGCTTCTGTGAAGGAGGTGGCGCCAGTTGGAGGTTTTGGAAGGAGGGATACCTGCCCCAAGACTTAGCTGCAGGAAATGGGTGCTGTGTAGCTTCTGTACTTCTGAACATCTATTGACTCCACCCTGCAGCTCTGACTAGGAACTGTCACACTATAGTTCCTATGGGAGGTTCAGCCCTGCCAGAATAATGTTCCTAGAGGCCAGGAACTGCACTGGACAACTCTGCACATTTATAGCAGCCATCTCAGACTCTACCTGCCTGCTAAGTGCTAGCTCCACGCAGCACGAGGGCACCAGGGTGGACCAGCCACAGGCCCTGCCCTCTAGCAACTTACAAAAGTACTAGAGTCAGGATAGGAGAGGTTAGACAATGATGACAAGGACAATGACCTGTTACTGAGCCCTTCCTCCTTCCATGCTCTAGCCTTAGAACTTTACCCACTGTATTTTTTTCAACCCTCAAAATCAACCCAGGAAGTAGATTCTGTTATAATCCCTGATTTTATGGCTGGGGTGACCTGAGGCTCAGAAGACAGGCTGAAGAGCCCTGATAAGAGTCCAAGATTTGAACCACCAGACTACACAGCAGATTGGTGGCTTTACAAGGAGGGAAGTAAGAGTGGAAGAGCTGAAGGACTGAGCAGGTTGGAGTGTACAGGAAGAGAGGAGAGCCTGGAGGAGGTTGGGAAGGCTGCCCAGTGGGGTAGGAGGAGGAGGACCCACCTGTGAAGCCCTTGTTAGGGCGACTTGGTAGGTGCTTGGGGGCATCTTCCAGCAGAGGGTCCAGGTGCTCTGTGCCAGTGGGCACTGTATTGGGGTCCCAGGAGCCAGAGCAGAAGAGGATAAGTGAGGAGTCCAGGCTGTCATGGATCTCACATATAGCTATGGGAGACAGAACAGGTCAGCAGGCAGGCCAGTAGGCTGTGCATTCCCAGGGAAGACTGGTTAATATGAGGGGGAAATGGGTAAGGTACCTTTACTGTTTATAGGAGCAACAGCTCCCATAAGCTGCTGGCTAACTACACAAAGAGCTCCTTACGTGATTTTCTTATTCTTATAGCCCTAGGAAATAGGTACCAACAACAGCCCATTTTAGAGCTGAAGAAACTGACACACCATGAACAAGAGGGAGCTCATACCAAGGTCTCTTACCCACTGTACTGGGTATGGTTGGTGGACAGGAGTGGGGGTCAGAAGGCCCCATTTCCTCTAAGTGGGAACCTTCTGTTTTCCTAGGTGCTGGACAGATGCCCAGATACTCACCTTTGGCACAGGGCAGTGCTGGCTCTCTTGGCCTCACTTTCTCTGGCTGCTACTTATTTTTATGGTGCTGGGTTGAAACCTATGGCCTCATGCGTGCTAGGCAAACACTATACCACTGAGCTACTCTGGTTTTCTCTTAATTCATCTAATCTTCTTTCCTCTACCTACTGTATCCTTCCTTCTCCCCTTGTAGCATTTTTTTTGGGGGGGTGGTACAGGGGTGTTTTACTGCTTAGCTACTTAATTACACCCCCAGTCCTTTTATTTTTTGAGACAGGTCTTGCTAAGTTGCTGAGGGTCTCACTAAATTGCTGAGGCTGGCCTCAAACGTGTGATCCTCTTGCCTCAGCCTCCAGAACTGCTGGGATTACAGCTGTATGCCACTGCACCTGGCCCCTTGCAGCATTTTAACTTCCTTGTCCATTATCCCACAACAGCCATAGTGTGGGGAGAAAGAACAGGGACACTGTGATGAAGCCCAAGATCAAATCCTAGTTCTGTTGGGCATGGTGGCTCACCCCTGTAATCAGAGCAATGAGGGAGGCTGAGGCAGCAGGATCACAAGTTCCAGGCCAGCCTCAGCAACTTAGAGAGATCCTATCTCAAAATAATAAAAAATAAAAAGGACTGAGGATGCTGGGTACAGTGATGCACTGTAATCACAGCAGCTCAGGAGGCTGAGGCAGGAAGATTGCAAGTTCAAGGCCAGCCTCAGCAAGGGTGAGGCTCTAAGCAACTCAGTGAGACCCTGTCTCTAAATAAAATACAAAATAGGGCTGGGGATGTGGCTCAGTGGTCAAGTGCCCCTGAGTTCAATCCCTGATACCAAAAAAAAAAACAAGAATGGAAGATGTAGCTCAGAGGTACTGTGCCACCAAGTTTACTCCTCGATACAAAAAAAAAAAAAAAAAAAAGTTAAAATAAAAAAAGAGCCTGGGGAAAGGGCTGGGGCTGTAGCTCAGTGGCAGAGCGCTTGCCTTGCACATGTGAGGCACTGGGTTTGATCCTCAGCACCGCATAAAAATAAACAAAAAAAATGAAGGCATGCTGTCCATCTATAACTACAAAAACAAATAAAAAAAAAAAGAGGCTGGGGGCGCTGGGGCTGGTGCTCAGTGGTAAAGTGCTTGCCTAGCAAGTGTGAGGCACTGGGTTGGATTCTCAGCACTGCACATAAATAAATAAAATAAACTCCATTGACAAATAAAGAAATAAATAAAGAGCCCTGGAGCTAGGCTTGTAGCCCAGTGGCACAGTGCTCGCCTTGCATATATAAAGGACTGGGTCCTTTGATATCACAAATAAATAAAATAAAATCCCAGTCCTCACCTACAGCTGTGTGAACTTGGGTAAGTTCCCTCTAAACTCACCTCATCATCCATAAAGCCAAGATGACAGTCCCTCCCTCCCCAGTCTTTGTGAAGATCAGAGCTGCTCTTGTAAAGCACCAGGCTCAGCATGCTGGCACCTAATGTGGCAGCACATGAAATGCAAGCTCCTCCAGGAGACGGGGAGTGAGTTCTTGTTCCCATTGTAGAGATAGGGCAAGTGAGGACTAATCAGTCACAAGAATGGCAGCCATCATGTCTGAGGGTGAACCAGTGCCAACCCCCTGACTACCAGTGTGGCAGGGCAACCACCTCCTCCTTAAGATCAGTAGGGGCAGGTGCTACAGATGTGGAACCTGACTCTCAGAGCACCTGCCTCTCATCCAGGACTGCCAGCTTCCCTGGCAGGCTCAAACAAGCTGACTCCAGGGCCCCTGCCCTTAACCACAGGCCAACATTGCCTCCCCCAGGCCTAGAAGGGAGCTGTGCTCTGTGCAAGGTCCCCTGGGTCTGCCACCTGTCCTTTGCCCCCTGGAGCTCACCTGGGGCCATCTCACTACCAAAAATAAGGGCACGAGCCTGGGATGTGGTAAGGCAGTGGCGCAGAGCATCACGCCGGAGATTGGTGTTGATGAGTGCCGCCTCCACGCCCAGCTTGGCCATGCCAAGCCACAGGCCCACAAACTCATTGCGGTTCTCCATGAAAAGGGCAGCCACATCGCCTGAAGCCAGGCCCCGGGCCTGCAGGAAGTTGCCCACGCTGCTTGAGTAATCATCTAGCTGGCGGAAGGTCCAGTGGGTGTCTGTGCCCTCGAAGATCAGGGCTGTCTTGTTGGGGTGGCGCTGTACCGTAGAGGCAAACAACACAGGCACAGTTTCCTGATCCCGCAGGTACCGTCGAACCTTTGCTTTCACCTTGAGGAGCACCAGGCCGCCGCTGTGTGGAAGTGAGCAATGAACTGTGACTGCCAGGGTTGGCAGGGTGGCCTCCTGAACCCCTGGCCCAGGTTCCTGCCCAATGCCCTGAGTGCCATAAGCCAGTCCTTCCTGGATGCATGACACTGCCACACACAGCCTTTCACCAAGACCTCACAATGACACCCAGAGGTCGTGTGGTTTCTCGCTCCTGATAGGAAGAGGAAAGATTCTCTCATGGTACTGCAGCTTACCCAGTGCTTCAAAGGTGCCATGAGGCTGAGACTTGAACTGCAGGCCTGTCTGGTTCCAACTCCTACTCCCCTCCTGCAGCCTGTACTATCCTCAACCCCTATCACCACAGTAAACTATGATAAGTCGTTCTCCCTGTCAGTCCAACTAGGACAGGCCTCTATCTTGTTTACCACCTTATCCCCAGGGTTGACCAGCACAGGGGAGATGCTTAGTGCTTGTGTTCCCCCCACCCCACCCCATAAACTCTGGAGCTCTGCAGTCTTTATGTCTCCAGTGCTGTGCCTGAGGCTGGACTCCCCGCCTTGTACCACCTTTGAGGCACCTCTCCACTAGGAGGCCTCTAGATTCCCTAAGCCCCTGGCCTGGGGTCATCTCTCCCTGCTCCTTGCTCCCATAGCTCCTGCTGCTACCACCCTTCCTGCAGGGTCACTTGATACCTCCTCCTTCTGTAATCAGTCCAGATTGACAAAGGCTGAGTTGCCTATTTGGGGGATGGTTCACTATGCTGGGCCCTGGAACACAAGAGTGAGCAAGACTGCCAGGGCCTTTGCCTGCATGGTACTGCCACTTCAGGGAGTTGCTTTGTCCTCTCCTTATCCCCATGGTTAGCCTAAGTTTGGCAGATCAGGTCTGCTTTGTTCCTCTCTGGGCCTCGGAGCAGCACAGGACCTGGCGCAGAGCAGCAGGGAACAGGTCTCCCAGATATCTAACTTGGAGCCTTGTTCTAGAATTCAGTGCCCCTTATACCCTCTCAGGTTTGTGCCAATCCAAGAAAAGGTCCTTTCCCACTGGGTTCCTCTTTTTTTTTTTTTTTTGAATTTTTATTTTTTATTATTTTTAGTTCTCGGCGGACACAACATCTTTGTTGGTATGTGGTGCTGAGGATCGAACCCGGGCCGCACGCATACCAGGCGAGTGCGCTACCACTTGAGCCACATCCCCAGCCCCCCACTGGGTTCCTCTTCACCTAGTTATAAACTAGAGTGTCCTCACGATCTGTCTTCAACATACTTGGAATTCAGTGTGTGTCCCAGCCCAAGGAGTTTCAAGTTAGGGAGATTCCCTGAGGAAAGACTTTGACCTTGGAGATGGAGGTACCAAATATTACTGCCAGGGGTAAGGTGTGGAGCAGAGGCTTCTGGGGTCCCAGGTGTCCTATACTGGTAGATACCATGGGGTCTTGTCTGGGGAGATTACAGGGATCAGGAACCCAGGAAGGATGAAACCCAGGAAGAACTGGACCAGTACTCACAAGATATCACGCCTGAAGGTCTTGATGAAGATCCGGATGAAGCGCCAGCCACCAGATCCCAAGTAGAGAAGCAGCAGGGAGAACCCCACTTGGGTCCAGGGTAGTCTCAGCACCAGCTTGGAGAACACCATCAACCCCACCAAAGATGCCCCAAGCAGCATGTTGGCCTGCAGGCACAAGGAAGTCAAACATTTGTGTCCCCAAGGACCACACACTTCCAGGTCCTGGCACCCACTCCACTGTGATCACAAACACCTTAGGGCTTGGTCACCCCAAGTTGGGTGACTGAGGACAAAGTTCCCTTTTAAGGTTTTGGTGGCTGAAAGGGTCTTCAAGTAAGTTTCAGGGATGACATGCAGGGGACTGTTCTAGCCTCTAGTCCTATCTTGAACTACCACTTTCCAAGTTACCTTGGACAGGTCCCTTTTCCACTTCAAGCCTCAGTTTCTGGCTGTGTGCAATGGGTTAGTGAGACCTGTTTTTAGTTTTTCAGTCCACTCTCCTACATCCAAGGACCCTAATCAAAACACCTTGAGGATAGATACTGACTTAAGTGTCTCCAGCTCAATTCCCCACCCAGAGCCCAGGGAGGTTCTGGGGAATGATCAGGCCAAACTACAACACAGAAAGGGGCAGCTTCCTGGGAAGGTAGCCCAGCCAAATCCCTGCCCACGGACTCTGGCATTGTCCTGCCTCCACTGTACTGAACGATAGAGGGCGACACAGTAAACAGGTTAGAGCCCGGAGGTGCCTAAGGGTGACTGCCCAGGGGGAAAGATGAATTAGGGAGAAGAGGGTCTTGAAGACACGCCCTACACCCCCGCCCCCCAGCAAACCACTCAGATGAATCCTTAGGAATGGGGCTTAGGGTAGGGGGAAAAGCTGACGGTGCTGCAAAGGCTGGGCTGAGATTAGGACTCTTGGGCTCTCTATTCATGGCTCTTTGCGGACTTGTTCAAGGGAAAGCTAGCTGAAGGGACAGTTTTTCTTAGGGTTTTCCTATTGTTAGAAGGAGCTGAAGGTCAAGGCTGTAAAGTAGCCTGAGAGCCAATATGAGGACATGGCCTGGACCACAGGGAGCCTCTACAAACCTCCTCCTCCCGGGGAAAAGCAAAACCCCGACGTGGGGGGCGGGGCTGGGCTAAAACGTCCCCAACCCCAATGCCAGGAACTCCAAGGCCCTCAGACCTCCGGCCTCCCAGAGCCCGCCAGTGCGGAGGGCAGGAACCCCTTCAGGAAGAATGGAAGGAGAAGAGGATGGGGTGCCGAGTTCCCAAGGGGCCCCTTCCGGGGTCCTGCTCCTAGACAGCTAGAGTAGCAAAGGTCCCGGCAGGGAAACAGAGAGGCTGGGCGCGCCCCTCACCCCAGGTCCGCCCCGCCGTCATCCCCTACTCGGCCCGGTAGGTTTCCCAGCCCTGGGTCCCACCGGCCCCGCCTCGCTCACCCGGCGTCGGCTCCGCAGCGCGGCGCCCAGTCCAGATGCGGCCCGGATGCAGCAGCGGAGTGGGGAGCGCTGGGGGCATCAGCCGCCCCTGGGCGCACAGAGCCAAGACCCAGCAGCGCTTGGCCGGCTCTGCGCCCTTCAGGGCCCGCCCGCCTCCCACAACCCAAACGGGATGTGCCGGCCCGCAGCACCGCCTCCAGCTCGGTCCCAGCGGCTGGCGAGCCTCTGAGCCGGCCGCGCGGATCGGCGCTAAGCTGCCCAGCCCAGCCCAGTCAAACCCAGCCCAGCCCAGCCCAGCGCAGCCCAGCGCGCTGGACGCCTCTCGGCTCAGTCAGCCCTGCGCGCGCCGCGACGTTGGGCGGTGCCGCCGCGCGGCATACTGGGAGTTGTAGTCCATGCCACTCAATCCGGCCCTGCGCGCACTACGCTAGGAGTTGTAGTCCGCGCCGCACACAGACCAGGGCAGCCGTAGAGAACCCCAGGTTTGGGGAACCGGCGGTTTACTGCTGGTTCCTCTGTTCCTATAATCCCGCGCGAGATTTAGGCAAGCACACTCTAACTCTTACGGTCAGCAGAGAATCCTAGCTCGCTACGCGGCCCCAGCAGAATTTAGTAAAGTCCAACACTACATCTAGGTGAGCTCTAAAAGGGCGGAGGTAAGCGGTGGGAGATCCTGGAAACCTGCCGCGGTGGATAGCGCATGAGACTTCTAGCCAAAACCTGCAGTGGCCATTTTTAGGTAGTGGGTTCGAGTCCCACCAGAGTCGCTGTTTTACTTCCTCCAGTACCTTCACAAGGTTCAAGAGGATCTGGGCATGGTGGTACATGGAGGCTGAGTTCTGGGCCAGCCTCAGTAATTTAGCTGGGGCTCTCAGCAATTTAGCGACATCTTGTCTCAAATGTATAGCTCAGTGGTAAAGCGCCCTGAGTTAAATCCTCAGTACCAACAATAAAACATAAACAGAAGAACTACAGGATCTATGCCCGACTCTGCTTTTGGGGTTACTGTGCAGAAATTCTCTCATCATGATTTTTTTTTTTTTATATACTGGGGATCCAACCCAGGGGCACTTAACTGGTGAGCTACATCATCTCCAGCCATTTTTATTTTTTATTTTTAGACAGGGTCTCACTGAGTTGCTTAGGGCCTTGCTAAATTGCTGAGGCTGGTCTGGAACTTGTGATCCTCGCACCTCAGCCTCCACAGTTGTTGGGATTACCAGTGTGTGCCATCACACCTGCCCAGCCATCAGGTGCTTTTTTTTTTTTTTTTTGAGAGAGAGAGAATTTTAATATTTATTTTTCAGTTTTCGGGGGACACAATATCTTTGTATGTGGTGCTGAGGATCCAACCGGGCCCCATGCATGCCAGGCGAGCTCGCTATCCCTTGAGCCACATCCCAGCCCCCATCAGGTGCTTTTGAAGCTTAAAGGTTCATTGATCACATTGGAGCTTAAAGGTTCATTGATCACAGAAGTATATATAAGATGAAAATTTAGACACAGAAATTATGTCTGATGGTATCCACAGGGCTTGGCATATTACAGAGGTGCAGTGTTAAATGAGTGAAAGGGAGAAGGATTTATGGGGATAAACACATTTATTTCCAAATCAACTATTGAAGCCATTTGCTGATGACTAGTCACATGCTGTCCTTTGCCCAGACTAGAAATTAAGAAACTAAGGCAATACTCTACCAGACAGTGGGCCAGGTGGAGGTATAGAAGTAGGGGGACACAGAGGGAAAAGGACAGTCTGCCTTCAAATTACTTGGTCTGGTGGGAGAAGGCAGGTGAAGATTTGAGTAAGTGAGATCGCTGACCACTCAGGGTACTTCTGGTGTAGCATCTGGTGTAACACTCTGCCTAGTTGTTGTGATGATTTATTGAGCTGTACTCTTTGCACAGCAGCAGACACAGCTGGGGTGCACTTCCAGCCCCAGTTGTGAGCTCTGAGCAAATCTCTCCTCACAGAGCCTCAGTGTCTTTACCTGTCCAATGGCAATACCACTGTCATGGCCCCTTCTTGTGTGACCACTAAGGATTCAAGGAAATGACAGGAGTCAAGCTCTTACCTCAGGGCTGGCTTCAGTACATAGCTCCAAGGGCAAGAGTGGCACTGTTCTGATCACTTGCTTAACTCCCAGTATGTGCACTGGGCACACACTCTGAAGAGGTCTGTGAAGTGACAAGACTGGTGGGCTTGTGCAGTAGAACACAAGGGTGGTGGTAGTGGGAGCACATGGTGGAAAGAACGGGTAGGAAGGCCTTGTGTGCCAGCCTGAGTTTATCCCAGGGGCAATGGAGAGCTAGTGAGGGTTTTTGAGAAGGTCAAGGACTGGGTCCTGTCATTTGAGGGGTGTGCCTAACTTAGGCTGACCTCACAATGGGCTCCTTTGACACGGACACAACTCCCATCCTGTACCACATTGGGGACAAATAACAGTGCAAAAACCAGCAGACTTAACCAGCAACTGACCTTTGGGCTCAAATGGAGGAACTTGGCCTCCCTGGCTCTCTGAGGTAGTTTGGCCCTAGCACACAGTAGGTGTTTACACCAAATACATTTGTTCCATTGGCCTGAAGAGCTCTGAGCTATAGAAATCCTCTCACTCTGAGTGTGTGCAAAATAATACCTCTGGCTTGACTTTACTTCCAAGATCTCAAGGGACCTTCCTGGCAAATGACAACTTCCTTTTCTTAAATGCTTACAATACGTTAATAAGCACTGACCATGCACCATTTTACTGAGTTTCCCAATGGCACTGCTGTGAAGCAGGTGTTTTGCTCTCCTCATTTTATTTTATCATTTGTTTATTTGGTACCAGGGATTGAATCCAGGGGCATTAAACCACTGAGCCACATCCCCAGCCCATTTTATTTTTTAAATTTTGAGATAGGGTCTTGCTAAGTTACTTAGGGCCTCACTAAGTTGCTGAGGCTGGCTTTGAACTTGTGATCCTCCTACCTCAGCCTCCTGAGCTGCTGGGATTATAGTCATGCGCCACCCACCCAGCTTCTCCCTATTTTAAGGGGAGGAAACAAGTTTACAGTCTGATGAGACTATGGCAAGGGAGCAGAACTGGGCAGCAGTGGGCCCAGGTCTGTGTGTCTTTTGAGCTTGTATATCCAGACCTGGCTCAGACTCCAGCTACCTATGCTTATTCTCAGAGTTAGTTTCTTTCTTTCTTTTTTTTTTTTTTTTTGCAGTGCTAGGGATAGGGATGGAACTCAGGACCTTGCCTTGTGCATGCAAGGCAAGTGCTCTACCACTGACTGACACCCGAAGCCCACTACCTAAGGAGACTTTTCCCGGATTACTGGGAGAGAACTCACGACCTCAGTTTAGCTGTGACCCCAGAAGTTTTCCTAAACCTGAGAGTTGGTCTTCATCGGTAAGTGAGCTACCATCAGTGTCTCAGGGGTTACTAAGGGAAACGAATGAGGACTTGACTGTAGCAGGCTAGCAAGGGCCTGGCCTCCATTTGCTCAACAATGAAGTAGTAAGTCCTTGTTATATTCTTCCTCAGATGGGGTGGTCAGGGAAGGCCTGAGGTCACATTTGAGCAGAGATACGAGTGACAAGGAGCTGCCCACGTAACTACCCAGAGACAGAGTGCTGTTCCCAAAGGCAAGAAGTTTGGTGTGTTTTGGGAAGAAGGATAAAGGCAATCAAGATTTATTAGAAAATAGAAGTTTCCAGATAGAAGGTGGCCTCACAGGCTATGTTAAAAACAATCAGTCATAGCTATTACAGTATTGTTTTTCTTCACTCATAGGTGACACTAATGCCACCCTATGGTTAGACCAGACTTCATCCCAGACAATGTGGATGTCTGATTCCCTCTGGCAAGTGCTGTAATGGCCCAGGGCTAGAGTAGGTGTGATCCAGGTGTGCAGAGAAGGCCATCTGAGTCTGATCTACCCGCCACCTTGGCACCTGACTTCAACTGAGTTGCAGTGGGGTAGGTGCCCTAGACACCAAAGTTTCCCAATGGCACTGCTGTGAAGCAGGTGTTTTGCTCTCCTCATTTTATTTTATCATTTGTTTATTTGGTACCAGGGATTGAATCCAGCTGCACTAAGCCACTGAGCCACATCCCCAGCCCATTTTATTTTTTAATGCAGACCAGGCAGCTCTGCAAAGGCAGCCTACATTGTCCTGCAGGTGGGTGAAACACAGGGAACTTGCCTCTACCTCTTGCCTTCTGTAGGAATTCAGGGAGTCAGCACAAGGTTTCCCTATTTTTGTTGGTTGGTTTGTTTTTATGGTGCTAGGGCTTGAACCCAGGGGTGCTCTACCACTGGAGCTACATCTCCAGCCCAAGCCTTCTCTCTTAAAGAAACCCACATTCTCAGCCTCCAGCACCCTCCTTCTGTCAGCAGGAGCCCAGGACAGGACATGGTGGCCACAGGTAAGGCCAGGGCTGGGCAGGTGCTCATATGGCTTTCTAGAAAGGCCTTCAGATAACCCTGGTTCCAGCCCCAGTTCTGTTCCTGTTGCCTCATTAGTAAAGCAAGTAAATGGGGCCCCATGGTGCATGTTTGTCATCCCAGCCACTGGAGGATTGCAAGGCCATCTTGGGTAACTTAGCAAGACACTCTCTTGGAGATGTAGTTCAGTGGTAAAATCAAAGTAACAGTACCTCCTACCTCTGGGTGGCCACCTTGAAGTGTCATTGTGATGATGCATCTCAAGTGCATAGTGTTGCTTGGCCCATAGTATAGTTGTAAATAAACTGTGGTCATTATTATAGATTGGGAAACTGAGGAATAGGAAAACCAACCTGGAAGCCTGTGGCCTGTGTTCTAGTTAATATTAAGCAATTCCCTGCCTAATTTCTGGGCTCCAGGTGACAAATCCACAAAATAACAAAGTTGGCCCTGAAAAACTCTAAGGGCCCAGCCAGGTGTGGTGTCTCATAACTATATCACAGGGACTCAGGAGGCCGAGGCAGGATAGCAAGTTCGATGCCAACCTGAGCAATTTAGTGAGACCTTATCTTAAAAAAAAAAAAAAAAAAAAAAAAAAGACTGGGTTGTAACTCAGTGGTAGAGGATCCCTGAGTTCAGTCCCCCTACCAAAGGGGGGAAAATATGCCCAAAACACTCTAAGGGCTCTGCCATCTTGAGAGTTTTTCTGGTCCCAAATCCTCAGACAGAGCCACCCACTCTTCTCAGGTACTTTTTGTCCTGCCTGCCCCTGTTCCTGACTCTGACTGGAGGGAAGAGCCTGTTTGCCACTCCAGAATGAGCTGCAGTCTCCTGTGTCCCCCAACACACTAAAACTAAAGTGGCTCCTGCCCCTTGGCCCTATCCCCACAGGCCTTCTGCATTCCACCTCAGGGAACCCCCATAACCCAAGGCAGAAACTGTCATTTGCCCTTCACTGAGGTTTAAATGGCTCAGAAGGGGAAGGTAGGAGTCCTCCACTAGAAAATGGAGGAGCTGAAGATTGGAATCTTAGCCTGCCCAACTTCAGACTAGAGAGAGGAAAGCAGCTGAAGTTCAGGTTGGGAGGGAATTTCCACCCTCGGTGCTGGGAAGGCCCAGAGCTGTCAGAGCCACAGGCAGCCCTGGGCCAAGGAGGACAAGCAGACACTTGGCCTGATGAGAGCCTTTATTCAGATGGCTGACTTGCCTCCACTCCGCCTCTCTTCTTAGACATTTGGAGTTGAGTGTTGCTCTCACTCCTGTGAGGACACCCGCCTGGGCCTCAGAAAGCCCTGGTTGGCAGGGAGGAGTCCCAAACAGGCTATGGACCTGAGATATTCCACCTAATCCTAGATGGCCAGTCCTTGAGAAAATGTGGCTCTCCTTAGGCAGCTTGGAGGCCCAGTGCCCTGCTTGCTCCCTCCTGGACTGGCCCTCAAGGACACACAGCAATGATTATGACAACTATAAATAACATCCAAAGGTCAGTCAGTGTTCAAAAAGAAGGAGCAAAGGTAGTGGCAAAGGTGTCTTCTGTCCCTGGAGGCAGTGGGTGGGAAGGCAAACCAGCACCCTTGTTGCAGCAGCTCAGACTAGGCCCGGCCCCGGACACACAGAGGCGGCACTGTGATGCCCAGTTCCTCTCGCAGGGCACTCAGGGACTGCTCCCAACGCTGCTCATAGTACAGGTTGAGGACGCAAGGGGCCCTGCGCCCATTCTCAACTGCCCACGGGATCAGCTCCGAGACTAGCACCTGCAGGCTCCTGAGGGGTGGCAGGGAGAAGAGAAAACATCAGGTCCTCAAGGGCTAGGCCTGCTATGTGCTCAGAGCTTGCTGTGCATGTGCCCAGTTAGTCCTCACTCAGAAGCAGAAGGAAAGCTCAGTGAGGTGAAACCTTATGCCCCAAGTCTTACACACCTTGAACACACCAAAACTCAGATGTAAATAGAGGACTAATTCCAGAAACTTGGGCTACCCTGCCTTCCCACTGACTCCTGTCATTCTGCCCTGGTCCTGAGGCCTGGCCCCAAAGCTCCTGGGACATAGGCCAGTTTTCCCTTTCTGCCTCCTCTTTCATACCCTTGCTTCCTGGAGAGCCACATGGGCTGCTAGGTGTCTGCATACCTTTCCCATTTCCTGAAGTCCAGCCCCTCTGAGGTCTCCCCCAACCCTCCAATGTCCCTGCCACTTGAAAACTTACTGAGCACTGAGACGGACTGGTCCAAAGAGTGCACCCAGGATGCACATGGGGAGACGAGTCTGCACAGCCTCAAACCATTTCACCACGATTTCCCCTAGGGGTAAGGACAAGGACCAGGTGGAAGGTAAGTGATGCTGGGAGGAGGTGGCCAGTGGTGCTGCTGGTAGGGCCCAGAGAGGCATCTGCTTTTCTCCAATCTCTACCAGGGCTCAGTTGTACCCCTTCCTGGCCTGTGCTGGGCCTTGGGGCACTGGGCTTGGGGTGGAGGAGAGGGTATCAGTGCAAGAGAAAGGGGCTGGAAGGGAAGCTGCGTCAGAATGCAGAGGATCTCAAAAGCCAGACTGAGGAGACTCCGATGGTCCCAACAGGCCTTAGAGGGAGGGATGCTGTGGGAGGGAAATCAGTGTAGAAGTCACAAAGGAGAAATGGGGATAGCATGGCCCAGATGCTACCAGAATGTTTGCGCAAAGCAAAAAAAATCAGCAGGCACTGAGTAGATGAAGGGACGTGGTGGAAAGACAAAGACAGCTGGCTGGAGGACACTGCCATCCACTACTTGCAGGTAGCTGGCTTGGTGGCACTCACCCAGCATGTTGGTAGGCATCCCCAAGAGGGTGTGAAGCATGTCGTGCACCTCCCGGTAACGCTGGATCACGTATGCTAGCTCTTCATCATCCACAAAGCGGGTGGGCGCTCGGGTGTCTGGGGAGACCCTCTGACAAGCATGACACTCCCCTAGACCCTTTCCCAACAGCTCCCAGGGCCTAATTTGTTAGTCTCCCCTTAACTTTCAACCATTCCTACCAAACTCAGTCCCCACCAGAAAACCCTGGTGACTCATTCTGCACTGTCCTGTGTAGCAGCCACCCACCACTGCAGTCATGGAGCTTCCAAACATGGCAAGTTCCGAGATGTGCTATGCTTGTAAAATACACTGGATTTCAAAGACAGTATGAAAGAAAGTGAAATCACAATAATTTAAAAATGTTGATGCTGGGGAATGATACTGGCCCAAATATACTGTCATAATGTGTGCATATATGAATATATAACAACAAATCCCATCAGTATATATACAATTAATATACTAATGAAAAAGGAAAGACCCATCTTAAACCACAAAAAAATAAGTAAATAAAAATAAAAATGTGGATTACTTGTCGGAATGCTACTATTCTAAATATATTTGGCTAAAAATGTATTATTAACACAATTCCTGGGGCTGAGGTTGTGGCT